CTGAATATCACAAACTCAAGAGTTTGCAAGCTCTGAGAGGCGTCCCAGTAAGAGGGAGATGCTGGGCGCAGCCCGCTGTGGTCCGGGAGAACTCAAAGGGTCTCACTTGGGACCGCTGTTTATAGGGTCGCAAGATGGTTGGCTTTAGTCATCCATGAAAATTCTCAACGTTTCAGTAACAACGGTACCGTCCCACTTGAGCTACGACTCAGAAAAGGGTGTCAGGGGATGACGAATTACCCCCGCTCTCCTCCCCGACTCAGGCCAGGCAGCAGGAGTTCCTGGTGTGGTCAGTATGTTCCCCAACCTCAGCTATGCAAGAGTTCCTGATACGGTCAAGGGACGCTTCACTGCCTGACTCATTACACCAAGGCCAAGGTTTAACGGGAGTTTCTGAGATCATGGAGCGGCCCAGGAGGAGGCGGGGAACGCACCACCACAGCAGGGCAGGGCTGCGGTGAGGGGAACCTGTGGGCTCCACGGGGAGCCTGTCCGTGTCCCACCAGCTCCAGGGACAGGTGGGACAAGGGATATGTGTTTGGGATCCCATGGGAAGGGGCAATCGGAGGGTACACACAGGGAGGAGGGACAGAAAGGATAGAGCAAGGAGGGTGTCCTGGTTTCGGCTGGGATAGAGTTAATTTTCTTCCTAGTAGCTGGTATAGTGCTGTGTTTTGGATTTAATATGAGAATAATGTTGATAACACACTGATGTTTTGCTTGTTGCTATGTAGTGCTTATACTAAGCCAAGGACTTTTCAGCCTCCCATGCTCTGCCAGCTGCACAAGAAGCTGGGAGGGGGCACAGCTGGGACAGCTAACCCAAACTGGCCAAAGGGATATTCCATACTATATGACGTCATACTCAGTATATAAGCTGGGGGAAGTTGGCTGGGGGGCATCAATCGCTACTCAGGGACTGGCTGGGCATCAGTCGGCAGGTGGTGAGCAATTGCATCGTGCATCATTTGCTTTGTATATTCTTGTTGTAGTAGTAGTATTTTACTTTATTTCAGTTATTAAACTGTTCTTATCTCAACCCACGAGTTTTCTTACTTATACTCTCCTGATTCTCTCCCCCATCCCACCAGAGATGGGGGAGTGAGCGAGCGGCTGTGTGGTGTTTAGTTGCTGACTGGGGTAAAACCATGACAGAGGGGGAGAAGAAGATAAAGCAAAGAGAAAGTGAAAGCAAAGTTGATACACTTGGATCTCCCCATCTCCACTTCCAGCACCATCCTGACCTCCTCCCAGCCTGTCACCCCAGCCCCAGCCCTGTCACCTGCCTTCTCCAGCCCCCATCTTTCCCACTGTATGCATCAGACAGACCCCCACCAGACAGTTCCTGATCAGCTTTACATTCACATCGCACCATCATCAGGTCTTTTGCTTTTCCTGACGACTTCTTTTCAGTGAGTCAGTGTCACTGAGAACCTTAGTTACAAACCTTGCAGACAGGAAGAGCTACTGCATCCCTGTGTCACTTGAAGGCATGTTTGCCTTCCTTCCCACAGCAATGTCTGCAAGGAAGGACATGCCAGATGATCCCTCTGAGGGAGATGCAGGCCAGGGTGGACTGGCAGAGACACTGAAAGGTGTGGGCCTCCACATAGGGTACTGGTTCCCTGTACTGGAGAAGGATCTGGGAGTCACTGGCACACAGGGCTTGAGATATCTGAAAGATGAAGATTACCTAAAGCTTGCAAGCAATGCACAGTACATATGGGAGAAAAAAGCCCCAAAAGAGTGCTTCAGGCACATGGCAAGGCGAGGGTACCAGCATGGACCCTCCACCCGCCTGATACCCCAGCCTGGACCCGAGGCCACCCTACTTGCCGGCTGGTCCAGCTTGAAGTTTGCTGGTGAATTCACACGCACACCCAGTTTGGTAGATACAGACACTTATTCCCCGGCCAGCAGCCAGCACCAGGCACTGGGCTGTGACCCATGGTCCTGCTCCAGCTGCCGGTGCTCTGCCCTTCACTTACCTCATTCACACCCCAAGTAGTTCATTTTCAGGACACACACCATTCCCACCCCAGTGGCTGGAGGTTAAAGACCCCCACTTTCTCCAGTAGCTGGCACTGAGACCCGCCCCACTCACTCCAGTAGCTGCACTGGGACCCCACTTGCTCCAGTAGCTAACACCACAGGCCAGGGGCACCCAAACCCCCAGTCTTACTCCAGTAGCTGGCCCCAAAATCCACTCACACACACACAGGTCTCGCCAGTAACTGGCGCTTAGTCCTCGCAGCACACACACACTGGCAAGGTTTGTTTCCTGTTATTGTCTCCACGTCTGTTTTGTCAGGTCTGTGTCTTGGTATATTTTGGGTTTGGTTCCCCTTTTTTCCCTTAGTTTCCCATCTGACCAGCTCTCTGATCAGATAACCTCGCTGGAATAAACCTTCTCACCCTCTCACTCATCAATTAGTGTGACTGACCAGGCTTGGTTCCCACCACTGCCACCCTTATCATTTGTTGGTCAGCTTTGTTTAACTGGATGTTCTTGTTTATGGATTCCTCCTCTTCTTGTTATCCCTTGAGACACTGAAGAAGGTCCTTGACCAGACACCCTGAAAGGAGCAGACGCTCTCCTTCTACACACCCTTACACAGACCATCGCCCGACTTCACAGCACGAATGCTCAAGTCACACACAACTGTGGCTCACCTGAAAATAAAGGATACAGAGGCCAGTCCAGTCCGACTGATTAGTTTATTAGCAAAGACTACAAGGGATTATACTGAATCACCACTTCGGCCACTCTCCAGGAGGGCATGGTCCTTGGGTTTCCTGTGGCGTTGCAGGAACTGCACACCGAAAACCGCCGACCGCCTCACTAGCGCAGTCCCAGCTGGTTACACGTTCTCCAGACCATGGCTCCATTGCCACCAGCCTGTCTTGACAGCACAAACACTAATGGCACACGCTGCCGATGGCTGCTGAGGAAGCTGCAAAGATACGTGTTTATCCACATTGGTCATACAAAGGCCTTAGCTCAACCGCTAAGCAAATGGCAAGAGCAGTTGCTATCACAGCTAAGAGCTGGAGGAGAGTTCACCAGGTCCAGGCAGCTGCGTAGGAATGGCTCACCTTAACATATGAAGTTAAATCACCGTCTAAATCCACGTAGCTGTTGTGTTAACTGCTTTAATGACATCGGAGACAGAACAGCTACTGATCTGAGTTTATCAATAAGGGATCGATAAGGGATCAATAAGGGAATGATAATCCCAAAAAGCAAAACAGCACAGCTTGCAGCCAATGTTGAGCTGTTCTCAGATCCCGCAGCCCTTTCTTTGAGTGTGACAAGTACTTGCTGCAGGAAAAGTATTTTTTTGCCAGTATCACTTATTTTCTCATAGCAGCTGATAAAATTGGTACTTTCTAATGCTGCCTTTGCTCTTCATCTGGCACTTGGTCTTAATCTTGGCCATATGACTGCTTGCTGGAGGCATGTTCTTCTTTTCTGCTGTAAGACAAAGCAGATGTAAATGTTTACGGCAAGAGAGGAAGAGGATTCTAACTTTATCATGAAGTAAGGGAATTTCTGAGCAATGGCAGAAGCAGCATGCCTTATTTCAACCAACTTTGTAAGCAATTAGATATCGTTTTCTTCATCTGGCTTGAGGTCATAGTCATTATAACAATATTTTGTGGATAGATGTGTACTATATTCTTCTAAAATGCAAAGCAGTTGCGGTTCTTCCTTCATATCAACTTGGCCTAAAGCTTCGCCAGTTCCTCAAGTGCTTCCTGCTTTGTAATTCTCTGCCATGAAGCAGGGATTTCTCCTTTGCCATGGAATTTCCCATTGTACCGTTTTTCTAGCTCTGTCCTGAAATGAGACACAAACCATTTCCAGTACGCTTGCATGGATGGATCAGAAGGAATGTTCCAAGTGGAATAAGGAGGTCCTGCATCCCGGTATCTCTTGTAGGGGATCCATGTGTCTTCACCAATCCTGAACGTACAGTTACTTGCAACGCTACTAGAACAAATATCAATGACCAGATTGTCTGTTTTATGCCACCTGTATCCTGTCAAAACTTGCGGACGATGGAAGACAAGCTGATGGTCTCCATCGTGATTCTGCATGGTGTTTGTGCAAACAGCCCCACAAAAGGGACACTGCTCCCAGCACCCTGCAAACTGTTCAGCCAGGATTGTATGAGGCTGCCTTTCAAATGAGCTCATATCAGCACTAGCAAACTCTTCCTTGAGATGATCTTTCAGGGGAGCCAGTGCTTCTGTCATGGCATTATTCAGGAACTCTATGTCTGTTATCTCCTGATGCTCAATGCCCTTCAGGTCGCTTCTGGGCAAGCTCAGCACCTCTCCAAGTGCGCTGCAAAATTCATCCAGCCAAAGAGAGATTTTGTCATTTCTGTCTTTTCTGTCTTTGACAATGTCAGTTGATGCAAAAACAGCTGACTGGATGCTTTCATAGTAGTGAGTAAGGGAGTCATCTAAAAACTTCTCCAGCCTCCTGTTCTTATCTAAACAGTATGTCTCAACACGTGTCGCAATGTAACTCTCTAAAAAGTCTCCTGGGCAATTAAGGTACGCCTTGAAATTCTCAAAATTTTCTTCTTGTGCCAGGTATCTCAGTATGCAAACTTCCAGAGAGGATCTATTGCCATTGAAATCTGGGATTTTACCCTTTATGTCTCGAGCTATGGTAAGAGCTGTCCTCTCATAGACCGCCTGGTGAAGAGCTGGGGCAATCTTGTCGCACAGGAAAACAGCAAATGTTGTGATAGAAGTGGCTCCTTGGCAGGAAATCTGGAAACATTTAAGGAAATCTTCTCTCTTGCTTTCCAGGTAGATGACTGGATCATTTGCCTTTTTGAATGCTACATGCATGGCTTTAAACCTTTCTGCTGCCATTCTGCACAGATACAGTGATAAATCTATTCTGTAATCTTTATTAAAACTGTATTTTGCATTGCTAGGGACAGAGTTCATACCTTTCTGTACTTCATTTAGTATTTCATGGATAAAACTTCGATTGTAATCCCTTTTCTCCTTTTCCTTCTTATCAATGTTTGCCCTGACACACGCTATGATGTTATCTGTAATGCGGTGTATGATGCTCACATCAACATCATCAAAATTCACAGTCAAGATGCCCCAACGTTTTTTCTTAGCGACATGTTTCTCCAAGTCAACAGAAAATACTCTGTGTTTGGGAAATGTGCTGATTCGTGCATGTAAGTGAGGCTCCTTAAAGTGATCTAGAAGGACATCTTCTATTTCCACATCGATATCAACCTGTTCCGGAGGGGGAGCAGCAGAGGAGACTTCAGCAATCCAGATTGCCCAGAGAGAAATAAAGTTGTCTCTCAGTTCTTTTTCACTTAGTCTCTGGCCTTTCAGGGACAGAGCCAGCTGCCTACTCCTTTTCAGGAGCTCGTTTTCATATTCTGACTTCCTTTCATCCAGTTTACACTGGTTCTTCTTTAGTTCAATAAGATTCTCACACTTCTTTCTAGTTTCAAGAAGAAGAGACTCTTTCAGTTCTTTTAGCTTCAGTTCCGTGCTGCCTTTCCACTGGACCAGTATCTCACAGTCTCTGTCTTCACTGAAATACTTTTCCATGTCTTTTGTGATGGCATCACTTGTCTCTTGCACTAGTTTTTCAAGGTGTTCTGTGGTGACCTTCTGCAAATCCCCATTCCGAACTTTATTGTCCAGCTTCATTTGCAAGTCTAAGATGTGACTCCTCAGCTGCCAGGTCCACTGACTAAATGCGGTTTCCAGTTTCTTGTACGCAGCAATCTCCACTGAATTCTTGAAGCTGAAAATGAAGTTTTCATTCAGCAAAGCATTCCAGAGGTCACTAATACGAACTTTCAAGCTTGAGAGCCTCAAAATGCTGCCCTGCGACTCCTTCTTGGCAGCTTGGAGAATTTTGCTCTTTAATTCCTGGACGTTCTGGCTGTAGGTGGGATTGGGCGGTGCCATTGGGGGGTTTCCTTCCCAGAGGTGAGCAAAGTAATGAATGTGGGTGTTCACGTCAAAGCGGATGACGTCGCTGAAGCAGGAGACGTCACAGAAATCCTGCTGGGCACATTTCATCCAGCTTTTCCTGCAGACGTCTTTGTCCTTCCATGTTCTGTTCCTTGGCAGTTATTTCTCCCACATTTTGGTGTACAAACAGGCAGCTTGGGGAGAGATTTACTTGCTTCATCCTCAGAAAAGCCTGCACAGCAATCTGAAGGACATCTTGCATTTCTGAAGGATTTTCTCCAAAGATATTGATCAGAGTCATGTTGCCGATGCCAATGACAAAGGTGGCCAGCTCGTTGTCATGATTAAGGGACTGTTTATTGGCCATCTCTATGGCACGAAGTCCCTCTGTGTCAACAACTAGCATGTAATCAAAGTCCAAATCCTGTTGCAGCTTCTCGTCCACTTTAATTAGCTGCATAAACGCTCCCCGGGTGCACCTCCCTGCACTGACATTAAACTGAAGACCAAACATGGCATTCAACAGGGTTGACTTCCCTGTGCTCTGGATGCCAAGCACTGAAAGAACAAATACTCGTTTGTCCCCTAGCTTCTCAATTATTCTGTCAAAGATTGCTCCAACCCATCGTAATGGTACGTAAGAAGCATCACCATCCATCAGCTCAACAGGATACCCTGAAACCATCAGATCAGCTGCAATTTCAGGTAGTTTGACAAAACATTTATCCTCTGAGTTCATTGATTCCAGAGCTTCGTAAATCTGCCCTACCTCTCTCAAAATATGCTCAAGGCCAATGGACGAATCGTTGATTTCATTGGAGAGGGCATCTAACTTACTCAGCAACAGAGGTTTCAGGTTGTTTTTTTCATTGCTTTTCTTTATTGCCAGGATCTGAGACCATAACTGATGATATTGTCTCTTCAGTTCATCAAGGCGATCGGAGGAGAGGTCATCCATAAAGACCTTCATCCACTGCAGGAAGTATTTCTTGGTATCTGCTGGCTGTGACTGGAGAAAGCCAAGGACTGATTTCATCAGCTGATTGAGGGGGAATGCTTTCTCTAGTTGCTTTCTTCTTATTGCCAACTTCTCTGTTTCAATTTGGCTCCGATGATGCTCTATGCTCTTGTTTCTCTTTTCCTGCAGGCGAGTGAGTTCTTTGTCCTTTTTGCACCACATGTACCACAGTTTTCCTTGAAGAGGCAGTAGCTGGGATTTGATCTCAAACAACTTCTCTTTCTTCAGAAGCTTCACCAGCGCCTTTGCCTTTTCTTTGGCTGTCACACACGCGTCTGTATCTTCATCAACTAGGAATCCGTGCTTGCGAGCTTTGTCCAGGCAGGCATCAAGGCTGAAAAGCGTGTTAGACCCTTCCAGGAGATCCCTGATTGTTTTTGTCAGCTCGCCCATTAATTCTGCTTCGTTTCTGTTCTTGATACCTATTCTTATGTTTTGGCTAGATCGGCCAGCTGCAATGTTCTCTTTTTCAGTGAAAAGACAAACCAAAGGCCTTTGCGACTGCCACAGGTCACGTAAAATTTTCATCCCTTTCTTGTCACTCTGATCAGACTCGGATACAAGAGCCACGTTCACAGCAGATATCTCCTGTAAAAACTGTAGCTGTTCTTCATGATCCCTTGCATCTCCATGAAGGTTACAGAAAGCAACACAGCAGTCAAAGCTGTCATCGTCACTGCCCCGGGGACAGTACCAGGAGATCTCCACAACACCTTTCATCAGCAAACAGTCTTTGGTGCTGCCTTTGCAATGTCGGTGGAAAAAAGTGTCATGCTTTTGTTTGCTCAGCAGAGCATTCAGGATCTGAGATTTGGAAGAGGAGGGAGAACTGCCGATCCGTATGAAGGACACGATGGGTGTCTCTGCCTGATAAATGAGTTTGTTTTTGTAACTGGTAATTCTGGCCTGCTTTCCCAACTTCTCAGCCCCTTTCCAGCTCTTTTTTATTTGGCTGAGGGACCAGAGGGGGAACTCTATCCGTGAAGTGCAGGGGTTTGGTACCAGGAGAGGTAGCGCAAATTGGCAGAAAGCAAGCTTTGTTGAAATGTACTGTCTCATGAAATCATCAGCGCAATGAAAAATTGCCATCTGGATGTCCATGGGGTGCACACGACTGTCCCTGGTTGCAGATTCAGGGGCTTCTTCCTCCAAATCAGTGAAAAAGTCATCAAAGGAATCCGAGGGTTCATGCTTTTGCTCTGTGGTTTTTGGCACGGGTGTGAGTCCTGGGTTGCTCTCATCCTTGCAAGTCAGGTACCTCACCCGATAATCCACAGTTAACAGCTTTTGCAAGAAGTAGAATGGTAGTTCACTGTCCTTGCTGGGCTGGCTGTCATGTAAAGATGTCTGGTATATGATGTGGAAATCTTCTGTCCCCATTTTTCTTGGATACTGACTTTCTAGTCCAAGGCGCTTAAGTAAGTGGAAGAACTCTTGGTTTGTAATGGCTTGATTTACTTTGGATTTGCTGCCATCTGATTTGGATTTGGACTGACTGGAAGGCTCTATTCTTTGAAAAGTGTCTTCCATGTCTTTGATTATACTGTTTTTCTTCAGATCATCACATGTGTCATCCAAGCGCCCACTGATGAAGGAATGCAAGTCACTTTCCAGCATCTCCCAGTCTTTGAATGTCCTGTGCTTTTTGAGGAGAGTTTCTATCTCTGTGGACCATAAGTTTTTCATGTGATCTTCCATGAAAACTAAACGCTTATTCTTCCACTCAGGGGACGCCTCTTTACATTTGGGTGTTACAGTTAGACCCGTCAGTAGCAAGAAGGCCTGGGCTCTGTAAACATCTTGCTCCTTCAGACTCAGATACTCCTTATGTCCCGTTTGCATTTCATTTATCATGAAGTTAATTTCCGGACATCCAAGGAGGTACTGAAAAGTGCTCCTTTCCACCTTGTATCCCGTACTGGTTGTAATTAAGAGCACCAACAGTTCTACGTCTTTCTGTGCCCTTTCCTGGAGAAACTGGAGTAAGGAATAAACAGCTAGGCTTGTAGTCAAGGTGGCTTTTATCTTTGCTTCATGAATGGCAGATGCAGAGGTTTCTGGTGCATAGGTGACTTCCTGGATGTACTCCTTCATTTGCAGTAGTGTCTTGGTGAGATCTTCAAGCTCAGAAACATTGGGAGTTTCGGGAAGCATGTGCTCAGTATGGAAGATCCATTGCATAATGAAGGAAGACTTGGGGAAGTCCTTGACAGAATAGACATGAGGATCCAGGAGGCACCTCAACAAAGACTTGATATAGGTGGTGTTTTCTGGAGGTGACTTCTTGCAAGACAGAACGGTATTCACCAGGAACTCCTGCAGTGCTTTGTCCGACAGGCATACGTTGATCCAGACACTATGGTTTTTGGTTTTTTCATTCAGATTCTGTTTGAAATCTATCAGCGTGAGCAGTTTCCTTTCATCCACCGTCACCTCCCAGGCCTTCACGCACTCCAGGAAAACTCTGGCGTCTTCCACTGCACTGACCAGTTCCTCTCCAAACATGGTGCCGACACTGTGATTCGTTAGTGCCTCGTACGCAGCCCTGAGGCTGCTGCTCATTTGATAGATGGACTTAAAATCACTGCTGTGATTGAACAGGATTATATCCCACACTGGGATCAGCTGAAAGCCTCGGTCAATAACACACCAGGTTGTGTTATTAGTTACAAGCCCCAATTTCCACTGAGGAAGAGAATCCGTCTCTGATGGGCCCCCTGTGTGGGTCACGTAGAGCTGTACTGCTGTGTGGGCACTGCTTCCATCTCTTCCCTGAAAAGAAGCCTGTGATTTGGATTTCGAAACGTCCACGCTGACACTGAAGCCGCTGTAGCTGGCCCCGACGTAGCAGTTCAATGCTTCAGATGCTTGTCGCTTCATCTCTTCCCGCTGCTCAGCTCTGAATCCTTCCGTAGACGCCTTCCACCAGAATATCCCCCCAAAGTGGAGGGGACCCTGGTTTACGTGGGACCCAAACCTGCTGAAGAAGCTCGCGCACCTGCTCTTCAGCATGTTGGGCCTGTCTGCTTCCTGAGTGATGCTCAAAAGGTGTTCGATGTCTTGCAGCTCCCGCAGGGCCGCATCCGAGAGGTGAAGCTGATGCTTTTGGAAGTAGCAGGAGGCCAGAGGCATGTACTGGTACTTGATGGTGCAAATGTAGCTCTTCTCAGAGCGGGACTGGTGGGTGTCCTCCGACTGCGAGGAGCTGCTGTGATCTACACCAGCTTCAACATTAAACCCCCAGAACCCGGCTTTGGCAGAAACGCTGATGCTGAACCCCAGCTGTTCCATGGACTTGGTGAAAGTGGCTTCTGCTGCAGAGGAGGAGAACTCCTTCCTCTCAAGCAGTGACCCTTGCTCTGGACCGGCGAGCTTGAATCCGTCGGGAACCCTGATGAGCAGGTCTCGCTTTGCCAGCACATCCGTAAGGCTGCTGGTTCTGTAAATGCCCTGCAGGGCCAGTCCCCCTGATGCCCGCCTCAGGACCTCCATGTCAGAGACGTTCTCACCCCTGCTCACTGACAACTCCTGCTTCTCCAGCTGCTTCTGGATGCTCTCCAGCACATCCACCAATAACTTCTCTGGTGGTGCCCAGTACTCTTTGGGAATCTCCATGGCTTGCCACAGAGCCTCCTCTTTCTGTCTTACAACATCCTTGCTGTGGCTGCGGCTGTTGTGCATTTCTTTCAGCTCCATCAGAGCTCGCTTGGCTGCTTCTTGTCTCTGCTTTGTCATCTCCAAGCGCTCCTTCTGCAGCTCCTCAAAAGTTGCTTTGTTGTCTGTTATTTCTAGGAGTTTTTGGAGCGCCTTTGTTTCCCAGGGGTACCGTACCTCGCACTCCAGCTTAAGGTAGTCTTCATATTGGAGATGTTTCAGGGCTTCTCTCGACTTGACTCCCAGTATCTCTGACAGTTTGGGGAGCCAGTATCCATCATCCAGTCCTTCTTTCTCACACGCTTCTGCCAGTAGTTTTTTAGCAAGATGTGCCTTTTCATCATCCTCTAGTATGTCCTCCTGTGAACCCATGGCTGTGGAAGAAGAAAACAAACTTTCTTTAAGGAATGTTGTAAGGGGCCCCAGCCTCTTATAAGAGGGCTCTGTAGCAGTTCTGGCTCCGGGGATTCCTCCTACCCGGCTGCTGGAGCCCAGCCTGGGATGCCCCAAGGCCCGGGGCTCCCCGTCCCAGGACAATGGATGTGCCTGCTGCTTTCCCATTTGCAGGTTCAACCCTGAAGCTGAGTGTGTGTCCTGGAGACAACATGCACACACACAGTCTGACTTGGCTACACAACCTGCATTGGACAAGGTGCTGCTTTCAACAGCGCCCACGTATACCCAACAGGACTCATAAATACATGAGTACAGACAGTTTGAGCATTCCTGGATCCCTCGAGCACCAGCACAGCCCCTCCGTCCATCCAACACCCCTGCCTGCACCCTGCACCCTCTAACCAGCCCCACGGGTCTCCGGCTCGCTGGCTGGTCCAGCTTGGTGCTCACCAGCAGAGGCACACACTCACACACTCATCTCACGGGCACCCCACGCTCACAAGACACACTCACCCCAAATACCCAGCACCGGGCACACGGGCTGTGACCTGTGGTCCTGCTCCAGCTGCCGGCGCGGAGCCCCTCACTCACGCCCGTGTCCCCCAGGAGCTGGTTCTCGGGACACACATCGTTCCCACCCCAGTGGATGGGAAAAATCCAAGTTGTCCCTGTCCAGAGCTGTGCCTGCAGCATCCTGCTGGCCCATCATTAGTGACTGGAGACTTTGGGTCTTTGGCATTGTCTCCGGGACCCCCTGTCTATCCAGTTTGTGTCCCTTTGTGGTTTTGTTTATCATTTCCCCCTTCACTTATTATCCCATATGCATTGGACTGCCAACCTTAATGGAGCTGACGCTCTCACTGCACACATGCCTTTACGCCTTTTTTTTTTCTTTCCACTGTCGTACAAACCTGATAATTGTCTCTGTCTCAATTCAGTTGGATACTGAAGAGATTTATTCAGTGCACAAAACGTTCCCGTGCATTCAGCTTTTGTCCCACCAATGACACAAGACTCTTACCAACACAGATATTGATCCAAAGTGCTTGTGATGGGGCTCTTGGACCCTCTCAGAGCTGTTAGTGTCAGCTTTTCCTTTAAAGTCAGTGAAGATTTAGGCAATATACTCAATACATTCACCTCACAGCAGATACTCCTTTTGGTCAGACGCTGGACTTTCCAGAGGACACAGGCAGCCGAGGTTCCCAGCTCAACCAAGACAGCACACCGTCACACGGCAGGCCTGGTAGACAAGGCTGGGGTGTTAGGAAGATGACGGGGAACACCTCAACAATTCAGGAGGAAAAACACCAGGAAGGAAAGGCCCAAAATCCTAAAGGAGAAGACCAGAGGGTCAGGAGATGGCAACCCATCAATGCGGAGGATTCATTGCAGGGCGCAGTGCAGGCCATCCGGTGATGATTGCCCAGCCAGCAAAGACTCATCAGGGCCTTTTTGGGGTGGTGACCAGGCTAGGGTTTTGCCTGGCACCTAAACCCACATACCCATTATATACGTTAGCCCAGGGACCATTTGCAAAGTACGGATCTCCTGCATTCAGGAGTCTCCTCTGCACACAGCAAAAGGTGCCCAGGAGTGACTCAGGACAGGACTGTAATGCCTGTACACCACAACAACATCATGGGGAGGAAGACCAAGCCTGGCCATTGTCCTGGTTTCGGCTGGGATAGAGTTAAATTTCTTCCTAGTGCTGTGTTTTGGATTTAATATGAGAAGAATGTTGATAACACACTGATGTTTTCCGTTGTTGCTAAGTACCCTGCTAGTCAAGGACTTTCAGCTTAAAAAAAAAAAAAAAAAACAAAAAGGCATTGGGAGGGAGCACAGCCAGGACAGCCAGCCCAGCTGGCCAATGAGGTATTCCATACCATGTGATGTCATGCTCAGTATATGAATGGTAGGCGTGATCCAGGAAGTACCGATCGCTACCTGGTTATCGGCAAGCACGAGGTGAGCAATTGCATTGTGCATCACTCATTTTGTATATTCTATCATTATCATTATTATTTTCCCTTTTCTGTTCTATTAAACTGTCTTTATCTCAACCCACGAGTTTTTCTCACTCTTACCCTTCCGATTCTCTCCCCGTCCCACTGGGGGGTGGGAGGAGTGAGCAAGTGGCTGTGCGGTATTTGGCTGCCTGCCAGGTTAAACTACGACAGCCATGAAGTCAAAGCTTAATCTGACTGTAATTTAAAAAGGATCTCCCAGCATAGGGATCCTCCCCCAGAACCCAACTACCTGCTGACCTCTCAAATACTGGCCCTCCTGCCACCACCGTGCAGCCACCAGCAAGGGAGGGTGCAGGGCTCACGGCTGCTTTCTCGATGGGATAAGACCTGGAAGGATGGTGAGCAGGCTGAAGGATGGAGAGTAGGCTGGTCTGTGAGAGCAAAGCCTGGAGACCTGCAGAAAAGTCCCAGCTCCAGATACGCAGGCTGTCCAGTTAACGTCTGTGCTCTCCAGGCAGGCTCAGCCAACCTCAAGAAAAAGTCTGGACATGGCAGAGCCTGGGGGAACAGCACCAACAATGCAGCAGCACGTGCCCCATCCCACCACTGGCCAGATCATGCATCTGCTGCTGTGGGTGAAGCTCAAGCCCCCAAAGAGACAGAGAGAAACACCACGGTGCTTTGGCCTCCACCGGGAACTAAGCATCCACCAGCAGCTCGTGCAGTCCCACCAGCGGGATGGGGGAGAGAAGTGGAAAAGCAGAAGCAAGAAAAAATCCTGGGTCGAGATGAGGGGAGTTTAGCAAGCGAAGGAAAGCTGCATGTGCTCACAAAGCAAAGAAGGTGTTTATTCACTGCTTCCAGTCGCTCCCTGGGAAGCAGAGCCTCAGCGCACGTGACGGCTGCTTGGGAAGGCAAACGCCGCAGCCATCAACATCTCCCCTTCCTCCTCCTTCCCCCCAGCTTTGATTGCTGAGCACGACACCGTGCAGCGTGGCCCACTCAGGCCACCCGTCCTGGCTCTGTCCCCTCCCAACTTCTCGCCCGTCGGCCCGTTACCAACGCTATTTCAGTCTCAGATGCCCAAAACAGCACCGCACGGCTGCGATGGAGAACATCAACTCCAGCCCAACCGGATCCTGAACTAGCACCCAGGCACACTTTGAAGTCCCAGCATGGTTTCATATTTCTTCAAGAATAAGAAAAAAGACACATGCAATTGTGTTAGTGCACGCAGAGGACCACTAAGCATATTTATGGAATAACTTGGGATCGCTTTCTTCCTTGGAAGTGAACGAGGGAAGCATTAAGGCTGGCAGCATGATCTGCCATGGGACTGCCTGCACCCCGTTTCACGGGAACAGCCCCCTCGAGAGTGTTTTCCCCAGGGGAACCAAGCTCTGGAAGCGCTTGTGCCTTTGAGGGGCTGCACCAGGGACCAGAACACTTTGGGTGGTGAAGTTTAGACTGTAGGAGAGGCTGGGAGAGGTGAATCCCACCATCACTCCATAGAAAGGAAGAGGAAAAACTCTCCCCCTAGGCTTGGGGACAGAGCGGGATGTCCCACGAATGCCGCTCGTTACCCCAGTGCTGCCACGCTCTCTAACGAGCGCCGAGCGGCACAGGAGGCAGGCACCGCCACCCAAGCTGCCCACGCCGCCAGCCCGAGGACTGCACCCCAGCACCCATTGCTTCTGCACCCCCGCTAATGCTGACAGGAAGCACACCACGGAAAAGGTTGTCAGTGATGTTCCCCAAATTACCCGTTTCAGCTTCCGAGGCCAGGGGAGCGCCCGCAGGGCTGCTTTCCCACCTCCCCTTTGGCCCTGCAGTCTCGCTCTGACACGTCCCTGCCCGGTCCCCTGTCCCCAGAGCAGGGAGGCAAAGGGCACCAGGGCGCAGGTGCACGCCCGGCTCCGCAG